TGTACAAAATTAAGGCCTTCATATTTCATAGTTTTCTTAGTTCACCAAGGCTAAAGAAAAATTAAGTCCTTTATAAAAATTTCATTTTCACCACCCCCCACCTCCAACTATTAAAATCACCCCACCAAATATTATAAAAACAAGCATTATAATACCAAATCCTTTAAAGATGACTATAACAAATGTTATTTCTTGGCATAGGTGATCTTCATGGCATGGGATGGTGTGATCTTAAATCCTTGTAAAACATCCTTGGCAGCCCCAGTCTGCCCGTCATTTTCAAATTCCACAAAAGCAATGTCATGTCTCCCAAGTACCAAACATACTTCCTTGAAACCAGGGAATGCATTAAACAGCATGGATAACATCTTCTCATTAGTCTCTTCTGGTAAGTTATTAAGGAATAAAATATAATTTGGAGGATAATCAGGGACCTGAGGATTTGGTATTGCGTTTCCTTGGGTATTAGCTGAGTTTGGTGTTCCCTGACCAGGCTTTTTGTTTGCAGTTGTTGCAGTCTGTTCCACAATTTTGGCTTTTTTTTTTTTTTTTGTGAGCAAAAGCATCATGCATTTTAGATATTATATCAGAAAATGTTTTTTGATACTGGATTTGCATTAGTTTACCATAAAATGGAAATCCTTGTAACTGTCTCAAAGCATTCGTAGAGGAGCCCTGTTTCTTAAAAATAGCAAAGGCTTGCCCCCTCATCCTCATGGTCTTTAAAACCATGTCTATCACGTGGCCAAACTGAGAAAACAGGGCATATAGAGATCTCTTCAATTTTTCTTTTTTGATTTTGTCTTTCACATTATTGACATAACTTGTATGATTTGGTCTGATATCCACATTTGACTTAAATTTTTCAAATAACTTAAGGCCTATGCCATCTCTGGTAAGAACAAGAATTGCTCATCGTTTTGTGGTGACCCCCTTTATCCCTAATAATACCTTTTGCCTTAAAGCCTATTTCATCTGATTTTTCTATAGATACATCTTTTGGTTAGTTTTTCTCTAGTATACCATTTTCCATCTTTTTATTTTTGGTGCCCTCATGTTTCAATGTCCTCCTGTATACAGCATAGAGCTGCAATTTATTTTTCTTGGCCAACCTGATAATCTCTGTGTTTTAATAGATGAATGTAAAACACATTTTCTACCTCTGGTTTTGTGCTATTTGTTTACCATCCTTTTTATTTTCTTACCTTTCCATCTTCTATTATATTTTAATACCTTTTCTATTACCAGTTATACTTTCCATTTCTATTCTTTTAGTGACCCCTCTTAAATGTCTGAAACACATACTTGCCTTTACAAAAGCTGGACAATAATCAATATCTTTATCCTCCTCCCAAACAAATCGAGCTCCCGGGAACACTTTGACCCTGCCCTCTCCAGTTTTACATGTTCTTGTGTCCTGTGCACCTTGTTTTTATACCCCACAAACTAATAATTATTACTTATATTCCATGTTAAGTGCTTGTTCAAATTTACTTACATGTTTACCAGTTTGTTTGCTCACCATTTCTCCATCTGATTTCTTCCTTTTGCGTTACATGTGCATGTTATTGAAGTACCTCCTTTAAAAATTATTTCAGTGGGCCAGCCTGTGGCTCACTCGGGAGAGTGCAGTGCTGATAACACCAAGGCCATGGGTTCGGATCCCATATAGGGATGGCCGGTTGGCTCACTGGGTGAGGGTGGTGCTGACAACACCAAGTCAAGGGTTAAGATCCCCTTACCGGTCATCTTTAAAAAAAAAAAAAAAAAAAAAAAATTTCAGCAATGGTCTTTTGTGTAAACTCTTTGCCATAACATATCTTTATTTCTCCCTAACTCTTAAATTGGGTCAATAACTGGTAGAAAGTATTTTTCTCAGTGGTTTGAAGATACTGGATACTGTATTAGTCCATTTTGTGTTGCTGTAACATAAATATCCGAGACTGGATAAATTATAAAGATCAGAGGTTTATTTGGCTATGATTCTAGAACAGCTGCATCTGGCACGGGTCTCAGGCTGCTTCTACTCATGGCAGAAAGCGGCAGGCAGCCAGTGGGTACAAGTAGATCACATGGGGAGAGGA